TAGCCAATTTGCTAAGTCCACTAATTGTGGTGAAATCTTGTTTAAAATCGAAATTTGAAATTCAGTCCTTTGCTTGGTTTAGGAAAATAGGTAAATTTTATTCCAAAATGAATATGGTTCTTTTGTTGAAAGTAAAAGTGTCAGAGAATGGATAAGTGAAAGCACTTTATCAAAGCTTGTCGTAGAAATGATGGCATTTGTAAAGATAGTGCAAGATGGAATTCATCTTAATTTTGAAATTTTCAAATAATGAAGTTCATCTTCATTCTGAAAATTTTTAAATACTTTTTTTTCTTGGTCTTGTCCATTTACTTTTCAAATTTAAATTAAAAACGAAAAATAAAAAGAATTGTATTTTAATTTGATGTGGATACATCCAGCATATTTTTTTCTTTGCATGAAATGAAGATGAAATGTTTCTAAATTGTATGACAAGCTATTTATTTTGCTTGATCGTTAATTTTAGATTTATAGATTCATCATGTTAATTGATTTCATAAATTAATCAATAATATATGAAACATTCGATTATTACAATAAGTAATCATTGTAATCGACCTTTAATTGCCATACAAATAATTCCATCAACAATAGCTCCGTAGAGTTTTATGATTCTATTGTAAAATTGAAAGAGTGGAATGTATATTCAGAAAAGTAACAAAAGGATTTCGCTAATGACTTGTTTTTTTAATCTGTTGTTTTAAATTTTATTGCGAAATAATTTTACTCCTTTCTTCTCAACATTATTGCTTTACATTTTATTTATTTGATACGATCAAAATTATTTCAGTTCAGTCAAGGAATTCAATATCAAAATAATTTGCATCAAATAAATCCTCTCTCTAAAATAAAAAATAAAAATAAAAATAAGTGGAATATTTCAGTGCTAAAAAGCTTTCATGAATAGGTATCGCCTAGAAGCTAAAATCAATTTGTAATAAGCTCGTTCATTCCATGATACATACCATGGTTATGTTGATCGGTCACCCTCTTCCTTCTCTATTATAACGATTGCTTTTTTTTTCTTTATATTTTCGAATTCGATTTCATCTAAAAAAAAAAAAAGAGTGAATGTCTTACTTTCATTTCTAAATTCTAATGTAATGGAATGTAAAATTAACGAATTCCTTCCGTTCTCATAAAATCTTTAATTTCTCCCTTCTCGATAATCAACTAAATATCCTCTTAAATATTCTATTCGCGCTTCAAAGTAGTATTCTAATTGAGATTATGTAAAATAACGGCCAAATGATAATGATAAATGATAATAATAAGAAAATTGTTGCTCTTTAATAGTAGCTATTTCCTCCCCTTCTTTCTTCTCATTTTGTTTTAATCCTGAAATGTGAAATGTTTAAAGTACAAGATAAACTCTTACATTATTTTCACACTGATATAAATATACACACACATATATACGTACTATAGACGCACACACACACATACACATACACGCACATACACACATACATACACACACATGTACACATACACACACACACACGTGCACACACATACACACTCATACACGCACACACACATACATACAAATATATACAGACGAGAAATGCTGAGTGTGCTGTGCCATTTTATTATGGCTCATCGAAACGATCAATTTTTCGATTTGATACTGACAACGGTTCTTGCTATTTATAAATTAGTTAAGAAAATTTAAGAATAGCGCTCATAGTATGAAAAATAGCATGAACAATGAGGAAGTTCAGATTTGGCGCATTTGTCCAAACTTGTTGCTACTAACAAATGAATAGCAGTTATTATTAGTAATATACAAGAAATTCGAGAATAATGTTAAATCAACAGGCTTTGTTAACATTTCATTGGATAGTATATGTTGACTTCTATCGATCATTTAAATAATATTTCATATAGAAGGCAGCAAATTTTTTGCAAAATAAGAAAAAAAGAAATAGGAAATGAAAATTGCTATCGTCAAATGATTCACTACCAATATTGATTTCTTATAAAATGTGGCACATTTTATCCTTTTCTTAACATGAGGATCGATTTTGTTTTCTGCTAAATTTTCTCTCTTTCTGTCATTTGTTTGTATTAGTTTTTCTTTTTTTTTTTTTTTTGTAAAGACATCTTCATCTTATTGATCTGTCATTTGATCCTCAATGATCGAGAAAATAAAGAAGAATGAAGTTGGAATTTTCATTCTCTTTTCATTTATTTCATACTATACTGTTGGAGTTTTTATTTGTTTGTAAATTTACGAATTATTTTTCTTCATTGATAGCTTTATGGAGAAATTGAAAGATTGGAAAAAAATTTTTTTTGATATCAATTTAAAGGTGAGGAATCGGAGCAATGACTGATTGGATGTCTGAATTGCCAGTTGCAGCTCGGGACAAACCAATCATGACGCTTGCTATCCCAGGTTTTTAAATTGCTTTTGTAATCATTATTTCAATTCAACTTAATCATCTTATATAAATTGCTTGATTAAATGACATAGCTAAGCTAATGGAAGTAAATTGTGTATTAAGATGAAAAGTTCAATTTAAAATTCCATTCTTTCTTTTCGTAATTTCTTCAGGCTCCCATTTAAGCGGTACTTGCAATCTGAAAGAAGATAGCGAAATAACACCGGATCAAACATGGTGTGTTCGGGTACTCGATTCAAATGACATGATTCGAAAGGCAGTTTACAATTGGTCGAAAGTACAAACGATGTCCATTAAACAACAGGTATTCCAATTATGCTTTCAGCATATCTTTTTAATAAAAGAGACATTTTAATAATACTTTTAATAAGTAATTAATCTGAGGAATATTTAGTTTGTTTTTTCTTCAGTTAGAAGCAGGTATTCGATTTCTGGACGTACAGGTGGCTTATTTAAATGATGGCATTTATGTGGTACATGGACTTCGATCTATGGAAATCAGAGGTATACCTTAAAACTCTTTTCTTTGCAATATCTTACCCGATAAGATCGTTATCTCTCAGATCGATGCAATAGTTTTGTTCATTTTGTTTGATTATTGTTTATAGCTCCGATCCTAATGATCAATTAGATCGTATAAAAGCTTTCTAATAATGGTTATCAAGATGTACCATTCGATTCATTAGACAGGTTCAATTTTTAGTATAGGACAATTCCGCTGATTTCTTTTTTTTTCCTAGCTATAATTCTCTTAACAAAATCGTGTGAAATATAACAAAATGGAATATCTAGAAAAGATCATAATTTATTCGGTAATTGTATTAATCTTGATTGATATTTTTGTTCATTTGATTTTAGATCTATTCAAACGAGTGGATGACTTTTTATCACTTCATCCAAAGGAAGTTGTGCTAATTGATATTAATCATTTCTATGAATTTCGTGAACAGCATCATGATAAGCTCCTCGATATGATTAACAATTTGTTCGGTGATCGACTGATTAATCGGCCGGCAACGATACGAACAGCGATGAGCTATACATTAAATAAAATTTGGAACAGCACTGGAAGAGTTTGTTTCATATCTTTCATATTTAAAGGAGCTTTTCTATTTCGCAAAATTAACAAAGCTATTGTTAATGTTTCATATCGCTTCGGGGCTTTTCAAATGTTTCATAACAACTAGAAAGCTGATTCTGGAATAGCGACTTAATCCGTAAAACTTGAATACCTTGGCACTGTAATTTAAAATTTAAACTTAATTCTGAAAATTTATGAATATGATTAGGCATATCGGAAAAGAGAGACAAATCTTGGATCTTTGTAATTTCACACACTTTGACACAGGTGATAATCTTCTACCAACCACCGTTACCTTCACTCAAAGCAAATGATATCAATGGACATGCCGGACCATCAGATATTATCAAGTTACCCAACTATGTATGGAGTCGACAGTTCATCAAAAGTCCATGGCCAAAAACTGATGATGCTAAACGCATGGTTGATGATGTGGGAAATATTATACAGGCTAGGATGCTTGAGGATGGTTTTCAGGTAGATTCTTTGTTATCCTATCGGAGCAATATTATAATGTATAATTTTACTTCGATACACTTCGACCATTCCTCTTAATTTTAAGAAATTTTAATTATTTGTAATTTAAGGTATGCCAAGCAATAGTAACGTTAACTGTAAATTCAATCATTCGTCAACCAACCGGAACATTCGAGGCACGATTCGGACGACGTGCGACTAGAGCGCTGGTCGAATGGCTGCGACAGGTATTTATTAATTTTCGATTTTTTTCGTTTAACTTAGCGAAATTCAAATAGATTTTACGAATCATAGTTGTATTTCATGTTCACTGCCCATTGTCACGTGCCTACCCTTCCACAGGAGAAAAGGAAAAATCTTGTCGAAAAAGTGTTCAATTAACAGCTTCCACGCTAACGAAAAGACTCATTACGGTCATTTTCACGTTATTGTAATCATCTGACTTTCTTCCTGGCCAAGTGGTTGTTTTCTTCCCTAACATATGCAAATATAAAAACACACATGAAATACAAGTATATCTCATGATGAGATATCCCAGTAACAGTGAACATCAGGATTTCGAATTAATTAGCTTCAACTGCTTTACTTTTGAAGATCAGATTCCGTTTATGAGTTTAAATCGGCTGAAAGCTTTTTTAGAATGGATATAGTTATCGATCTAATATTAATGTGATTGTGGCAGATTTCGTGGATGAGGATGATTTTTGCAACACTATGATTGATCTGAATAAGTAATGAAAGAAATCTATTGATGTGACCGCTAGCATATATATATATATATACATATACGTGTAATATAAGTGTATTTTCTATAACAGTTGTTACTGAATTGCTTATAAACTTATTCAAATTAAACACTATTAAACTTTACAAAATTAATAGCCCAAAACTTTTCTCTCCTTTCCTTCTCATCCTTTTTCTCCAAAAATCCGGAAGGTTTAGACAATCTTTCAACTCAAATTTCTGTATTATTTCACTAAAAAAATAAAATTTTGTATAAGATTTGAACAATTGAAAAAAATCTAAAAAAAATGCTAGAAAAATAAGTTTCTAGTAAGCGACATAGCCGCCTCATAAACACCAAAAAAAATAAAGCCGCCGATACCCATCCAAGCGGAACGAGGCAACACACCAGCATAAAGTCCTCGGTATCCGGATGTTGTCCATATTTTTACAAATGTTGCGGCGATCCCAAAATGTGAAGTGCTTTCATTTAACATTATCTGTGTTTTCACTACATCAAAAGGTGTCGTCATGGCTGCAGCTATACTTCCCGATAAACTGCCACATGCTGCTGATTCTAGCGGCGTGCACTGCCTTTTTCGGGTCCTAAAACATTTTAGTAATTGGAATTCAATCGGAGTGCAGGCCAACAACTCAGGATAAAGCAAGCTCATGCTTTAGAAGGGCATTAGAAGTGCAAATGTCCAGAATGAATAGTGTATAGAAAAAAGACTTTTACAAGAACCATCTTTTTAATTACTATGATAATTTAACATTATACTGCAAACATAGATAAGTTGCTTTACACATTCGAAACTGATAACTTTAAAATGAAAAATAACCTGGCAAGATATGAATTTCTGAAATTAGATGATAGCAATAATTACAAGAATTGCAGGAATGCAGAGATTAGGAATGATGAATGAATAGCAAAAGAAAATGAGCCATCGTAATGCAGAGTATAAATTGTTTTAGAACTGCAGAGATGTATGATGGAAAATTGAACGTCTAATTTCAACACAGTTTAAAATAGCAATAATAAGAAAGTGTTACGGATAATGAAATAATTAAAAATTTACAGCATGTTATGCATATCTTTCACAACAGCTTTTAATGACAAAAATACGGAAAATATTATTCCGGACAGCCTCTTTTGTCCAATACGATGTTTATTTTAACTCGAGAGTTTGTATGGATCTAACAGTTCACTTTATTATATAGATTGTCATGGAGCTTTGTTTTGATCAGTTCGTTTATGAGATGGCAAATGTTTTAAGAAGATATTTCACTTAAAGTCAAAATTATATTTTAGTGAGATAATTTAGCTAGAACTTCTATCTGGCACAAAATAAACTCAACTGGCAAATACAAAGATTAGTATCAAATTCGAAAGACTTTTATCACCAAATGCATTGGAATTGACGGTACTGTTATTTCTTATTATTAAGTATTAATGTTTGCTTGCCTAGCAACAATGATGAAATAACAGTTGTGACAAACAGCAAGTTATATGAAGAGACAAGTGTGTGTATAATGAGGAAAAAAGCTACAAATAATTCTCCTGGTTCAAGTTCAATTCTAAAGCGTTCTGATAAGGCACAGATAAATTAATAGCTAGAATCAAGGATCAATAATAACTGCTTCTATTCGAGCTGCATACGGGAGTAACAATTTGATCAGGTAGCTATTGTGATGAACAAGTAAGATTTATACAAGCAACGCTGCAGTCCTCTAATACATGATAAATAACTAAAAATGAAATCCAATTTAGTCTATTGAGCTTTATTACGATATCAAACTTTTCATTATTTCCGCTTCAAATAAGATTTGGTTTCATCACTTGCATTTTATGAATTTATTTCATGTCAAAGTAATCCCATTTGACAAAATGTTCCATTCTTTTTCCACGCATTAGTTTAATTTGATATCAACTGAAGCTAATATTTGACGTACTCATGCAATAGCCTTATGATCTTTCAAACAGTATTAAAATAATTTCAAAAACATAAATTAAATAAGTGATTAAAACAAACCCTGCCACCTTTTGCTTTAAAACTTCCCAAAGAGGGAATTCGATGAGCGAAAATGGAATTTCTCGAAATACGGTACTGAGGAAACCCTGATAAAATCCAATAAATCCTGAAAAGAAAAGAAATACCCGAATATAATTAGCTGGATTTAAGAAACCAAATTCTATAAACAATTACAATATTATGCTTTTAACAAAAGCAATATCTGATTCTCAAATATTTAGTACAATGATAGAATTGATAAAAAAGAACCGCTGAAGGAGATCAATGTTATAGCTAAAACAAATAATGAGAAAAAGAAGGATTATTCAGAAGTTTGAATTCTTCCTATGTAAGGAAGGCATTGTGGAAGCAGATGAATTAAGAAACCTTGCAAATATGACCATTACACCGTCCAAAGGCTTCCACAGTTTTAACAATTTCATTTCAACTACTAATTTCATATAATTAATGTTAATTAATCTTGTCAAATTGCAGACTATGATATATATTTTTAGTCAGCATCGATTACTGCAATACAAATAAAAAATATACCACTTCGATTATAAATCATTCGGCAAATTATGCCCAAATCATGGCCGTGCTTTGTTTGCGCACGCTGTTTCACCAGTTCGGTAGGTACCCGTATAACACAAGCAACAACTTCCGAAAAACTAGCTGCACCTGCGTTCACAGCGATTGCTGAAAAGGTTTTCATTCTTTCTAAAACAGTGTAATGAACTATCACTTATTAACATAGGAAGTACAATGGAAAAAAATTCATCAGAAGTACTAATTGATGTTTTATTAATTTTTCATGAATTCTCTCGTAATTGAAGGAAATAACAAACAGTATATCTATTTGGCAAAAAAATGAAGGATATTTGAGTTATGTTTTTGGCATTTACAATTGAAAACAATAGGTCTGCATGGGTTTTATTATACACGAATGACTTATCTCAACTAGCTTATAGTTCTCTCATACAATACATGAACAGTTGTATCCAGCAAATGATATTTTAATGACAATTATTTACTTGCATTCTCTGCCAGCTAAATGCTTGAGCGTATTATATGTAGAGAAGAATAATGCAGCACTCGGTACAGAACCAATGACCACCGATCTCATACCACGGTAGACATTTCGTAATCCACCTGCAGCAGTAAATCCCTAAAACAGTATTGTTGAAGGTATTCACAACAAGAACATAACATATTTCTGGTTCATATCATAAACGTAAAACGCTGACAAATTAATAAAATTACCAGTTGGTATAAAAAGTGCATAAAAATTTTACGTTTTTAAGGATGTGGTCAATTTTACTATGTTTAAAATCTTACCGAACATATACAGATGATATACAGAGCAAATATATATGATATATATGCTAGAGTAAATGAAAGCATCATAATTACCTTGGAACTCTGTAGTCTAGTCTTAATCGTATCCAGTGGATACAGTGTTAACTCTACAGCCAATCCAGCAATAGCACCACAAAACAGCGGTCGACCAAAATAGTCCATGACAATCCGTCGATATTAGTGGTAAATTATAAGATGACTTCCCACTAAACAGTTTAGCTAAGTGCGAAAAAATATACAATTATTTAACTCATCAAAGAAGTTTGTCCTCAATATATTATTGAAAAGTATTATACATAAATAATGAATGAAAATAACCATCCAGGTGAATTGACTCGTCAAAAAAAACAGATTTTTCTCAAAGATTTATTTTAATGTTTTTATTATCAATAAAAATAGTGAAAACGGATAAAGAAGGCACATACATATTATGAGAACAATAACAAAAATAAAGAAATAAAGGCAATAAATCAGATGCATCACACAGAAACAAACTTAATTTAAATCGATTTGCAAATAAATCCATCAGCTATGAATAAGATGAAGTTTTTCAAAAACAACTTTCCTAATCTCGAAAGAAACTTCTGAAACAAAAAAGAATCATAAGAAAATTGAATGAAACATTGCATGACTTTGCTATATTTTAATAACAAATGGAATTCCGACACTTTTCCGAAAAGCAAAGATCTAAGTGTTGATTAGGAATTTTCGCTGTATCGAAATGCAATATTTTTTTGAAAATTCAAAGTTACAGAGGTTTTAAACTATCTTGAGAAATTTGATATCACCAGATTATTTTGGAAATCGATCCATGCAATGCTGAAATTACAAATAAATAGTCAGAAATATCACTAGATAAATATAGCAGGATATGAATCACTGAAGTGATGTACCAGAACAATATCAACATATCATTATGCAATATTCACATTAACCTATTGCAAGCGTATGAAAGGCTCCGACATTGAAATAAAGAACATTGAAACAAAGTAAAAAAATTACAAGGACAACTGGATTATTTCCGCTTAAAGACTAGAGATTTCTTCGAGCTCGCTATTGGAAGGAATAAGACCTGACCCGCTATTCCCCCAAGAAGTGACTTGTGTGGCCCTTTGGAACGTGCAAAAAGATTTCTCATTTTCTTTTTTCAATTTGTTGCGGCAAATTTTCCAATCCGAATATAAAAAGGAGAGAAAAAATTGAAATGAATATTTGGAATGAGTAGAATCAAAGAATGAATAAATAAAGCTTAGTTAAAAGGAAGTGAACACACCGGAAACAGAAATAAGTGATAAAAAAGACGAGTAAAAGTACGATATCACAGCTATAAAAAGGTAGATACAGTAAATAGTATGTTATTACATATCCGTTATAACACCAATGAAGCATTGTTCTCTTTTCTATTATTAGACTGTCATAACTTTCACATCTTACTACAAAAGCTCTGCAGGAGCAGTTTTTCTTTTTATTACCTGCAAAGTTTTGGAAATTCAATTTGTCTGAAAGACCTTACATGATAATCTCATTTTTGACCTTACACCAATAGTCTGTGATTTCTATTTCCTACTGCAGTACATAAGAAAATGAACAAACAAAACAAAAATGCAAAAATGAATGAGAACAAATAAAAGGAAGTGAAAAAACGTTGTGATATGTTGAAATGTACAATATAGATAAGAAAAAATAGCGTGAAATGTTCGAAAAACACGAAACGAGCACAGAAAAACATTGCTCCGAAAAAAAAAAAGGAATAAACAAGCATATAAATAATATTATAACCTTTTATAAAATAGAAAACAAATCAATGAACTTTTTAATATTGTTAGATTACAAAAAATGCATAAATGAATGAAAGCAAATGAAAATGAAGTGAAAAAGCGTTGCGATATGTTGAAATGCTCAATACAGATAAGAAAAAATAATATGGAACTGTTCGAAAAGTTTCATGTTCAGAGTTTCACGAAACAAGCATACAATAATATTACCTATATCATAAAGAGAATAATTTTGATTCAATGGTAAAGGAGGAATTTGAGGATTTTCCTCTAAAGTTGAATGCATTCATCAATCTATTTTTTGCAAATAAACTACAACTGTATGTTTATTAAAAAGTGAACAAAAATAAGTGAACTCTATAAAATTAAATCATGTGTTCACCTGTTGCTGAAAACAAGCAAGGAAAAAAGCTTTTCTTTGTTCTAAAACATGTGCTAAAGAGTACTGAAATGGAAGTAGGATAAAATTTGGAGTAGCATTTTCAAATAATAGTGAGAACACTATAATTCAAATTATAATTGAGAAATTATATATAATACATAAGTTAATTAGATGGGAAACTAAAATTCGCCTAGCATTACAATGACTTTTGCTTGCCCTCTTTCGTTTATTTTCTTCCCTTATTATTTAACCATCTTTACTTCGGCCTTTTTCTATAGCAGTTCATGCTATACTCATAATAATCTATACTGTTTGGCTAACGTTCGATTAAATTCCTGAACCAACCAATGCTGATAAGGATTTGTTTGGTCACAAACATTCATCAACAATTTGGCACCATCCCTCGACATTTCCAAACATTCGTTTGTAGTGACGTGAAGAATTTGAAGAATTTGACTTTTCTGCAGAATTTCGATTTTTTACCAAAGAAGAAAATTGCATGGGATATTAGAAATAAATCTAATTCTGTTAGCAGTATTACTATTTAATCAAAAACTTTGTACATAAAAAGTTAAACTCACATAAGGAAGATATTTCCATTCTTGATTACCCTTCATTCCATGACATGGATAAACCATAACATCGACACCAGCATAATCAATACACGAATCATCTCTTCGTATTTCGCCATCCTTCGTTATCATCCAATACTGACAAATCAGTTTATAAAAAAAACTTTGAATATTGAAAAATCATTATATTTTTACAACTGTAGAACTGCTTTTCCCGGAATCTGCGCAAATGAGAGTCATTTAAATATTAGATTTGTAAAATCAAAATGTCTAGCTTTAATTTTTTTTCTCAATTTTGCTTTTTCCCGAAAACCGTAAAAATTAGTTTTGCTTGCAGCATTCTTAGTGATGGAAAGCTAATCAGAAAGCTGGGAGTCATTCTACACGTGGAAGTAGTTCAGAAACGAATCGAAAACAAAAGTGAAGAAAATCGAACGTGAGTCAAACTGTATTTGATTTTCGAAAATATATACTAAAAGAAGCGAAGGAAGAAAAAATTCTTTCTGAAAAAATTCACGATAAATTGGCTTTTAACAAATTAATACAGAATTTGTTAGTGAACATGTGTGTTTGCATTTAACGGCTCTAACTGTAATAACTAGTAAACATGTGTCTTTATTCTGTGCATTAGAAATTGTAAAGAATGCAAACAATAGAAATCATTATTAATTCTTTTTGCTTTTGGCGAATGATCCGGTATTATTACCTCACAAGCAAGACATAGATAACTATTTTTCGAAACACTACATTAGTAAGAAATATTTTGAGAGCAGAAGTCTATCACAGTTTTCAAGAAGTAAAAATACATTGCAGCCACATCAAAGTTACGAAGTATACCTGATTACCGCCCTTCTTATGACACCAGTAAAGACCCGCATTTGATGATCTTTGCTTTCCTCGCGATGCCCAATCTAAACAATTCTTCGATCCTCCTCCTTTGTTCCGAATCTATAGAGATGTATGTTATTCCCTCATGAAGCAAACACTTCATGAATTTTCCGCATGACCATTATTTACTCGAAAAATAAAAATCGATAATTTTCATAGGATTATGCTGCATACTGCTTCACGTAAAAGAAGGACAAACATGGACAAAAAGTGAAACATAAAATATTAACAGAAGCTGCAAGCAACAATAACCACACCAAAAAACTGCATCCAACACCATTTTTTCTATGCAAAAGGGACATGCGCAGATTCCAATAAGTATGTGCCAACTTAATATAGTCTTTCCGAAATATATTAACGAACAGTTCGTAGCTGTAGTGTTCAAACAAGAACAAACATGCATCAAACTGGTCGTTAACTGCAGAGAAAGCTGTCAATAAATGGATTAAATTTAACGTCTGGAATCGTGAGCCTCTTTCGAGTGCTCGGTAGCGCTAAAACACGGGAAGAGATACACAAATTGACCACGTGATTTTAGTTATAAAATTATTCAGTGCTTGAATTAAGGAACCTGGTTACCACCATTCTTGTGACATGGAAACGCAATAACGACTTTTTGAATCTCATCGCCCACCTCACTATCCAAGCAGTGTTGGATAATATCCCCTGCCACTTCGCCTTTATTACGAATCTGAAAGTGATCCTCCCATTTACTACTACTGCTTTTTTACTATTCTATGAAATATTTGTTAATGAGTCAATAACTCACATATAAATATTAAAAACTTTGAAATACTGCAAAAAGATCCATGTCTGCTTTAATTACCTAGTGACATATATAAAAGTTATCTGTCATATAAATGTTTAAATTAAGAATGATCACAATAACTTCTACCATTTTAAGAAAGTCTACTAAATTCCACACTTCAGTTATTTTATATAGATAGAAAAAATATATGAATTTCACTATTCTTTTAAATTACTTTCTCGAAGCTAAAAATTCCATGTAATAAAGAATTTTACACGTCAAGCTAGAATTATCAGCAAAATTCTTTACCAACTTGAAAATATTTCTTCATAAAACATATATAAAGACTAATTATTAAGAATGTAGAACAATTTGGATTAACTCGAAATGCCTGATATGATGTAGTAAGTTATTAATATAATATAAACAAAAAGATTTAACTAAAAAGTGTGCATGTAAAATAAAGTGCATGTATATAATTTTCTATTGTTAAAAAATTAATATATTAGTACTCAAACCGTTTATACATCCCCATATTATTACAAATTTGATGATAACGCAAAAACAAGAGGAGTATTAACACAATTAAAACAAGAAACGAAGCACCAGCAAATTGCAGCATCTAGAAACATGATAAGTATGGAATATTCGAAAAAAAAAACCTAAATCCTATGTGCCAAAGTAAAAGTCACTAATTTTTAATAAGCAGTTTAATAATTAATAACTTTGTGCTGAAAAAAATACCTCTCCTTTTCCAATAGCATCTCCTGGAACAAACAATTCCGGATATATATTGTCCAGATACCACTTGAAAGATTTACATCGTAGCTTCTCACGCAATGCCTTTCTGCTGCTTACATCTCCAAAGTCACCCTAATTATTAATAATTGATAATTCTTTGCAATTAATGGTATTAAGAATTTCAAATTTCTAAGAGGCAAGTGTCAAAGAACACTAATGTAAGAAAATACTTCACAAAAAGAAAACCTCGGGAATGCTTAAAAAATTTCTAATTAATCTCAATAAGTGAATTAGAAGAAAACTTATGAATATGACACAATAAATGTTTATTTTCCTTTTTTGTCTGTACTGTGAAAAAGAAAAACTTTACCAAATCATTGTTAATTCTCTCGTAGTAGTATTTCTTGTATTCATCCATCCATACCTGTAACATATTTCTTCACTTTTTCATTGGGTACATAAAAATATAATTTTATGCAATCTTCAGAAGCCATCCTGAAAATTTTCAGAAAAAAAAATGGCTGCTGTGTTATTAATCAACTCAAAAATGTACAGAAAACAACTTTCAAGATCCTTAACTCACTTCCGCTAATCGAACAGAATTTCTTTTCAAAACATTCACACCAGAACGCCATTTATAAGGTGATCGTTTGCGAAATACATGGCCAACATGACTGCAGGGAACAATTTCCAATCTTCCGCCACACATCCATATCTATAGCAAATATTTATTTCAGACTGAAAGTCATTCCCTTATCATCATCGATACTAATTATATTTTATAAAGTAATGTTGGCTTCATTTACACATCATTAGCTAAAACATAAGGGAACTTTTAAGTCTATATTTATCACAACAGTTAAGATACTCAGTGACGAATCTTTCAAAAAGTGAAGTTTTTTCCTTCAACATTAATATTTCTTTAAATATTTTGTAGTAATATGATGATGAACTAACTTTGAATGAAAGTTCCAAGTTTTCTCCACCCCAAATATCGAGACCAGGATCGTAGGATCCTAATTCCCCGAAGAAAGAACGATGGATGGAAAAAAGGCCACCAGCCATAGTTGGAGACCTGAAAGGAGGCAAAGAATTTCAACGTCAGAACATACCAGATAACTATCAATTTCCTAATACTACTACCTTTTTCTTTTCAGTAGTAAATGAAAAGTTTCAAATGATTGCAACTACTTTTGTATTTACAACTTCATACCTTTCAAATCAAACATAGTGGTGTCCTGATATTAAATTACTTGACACACAAAATTTTTGAAGTCAAAATTCGTACTTGACGGGATCAATGTTCCTTCTACCTTTACGATCCCTCTCGGGAATGGCATGCCAATTAAACTGTAAAGACCAATCGAAACCACCCACATTCGTGAAGTAAGCCTTGGAGTAGTGGTACTCGAAGGTGTTATCATCAATTACGTCAATGACGGGACATACCACTGTTTTTGGATTCTTTTTAATTCTATCCAAAAGAGGTTCCATCCAACCTGAAACGAAATTTTGAAAGATTATAAATATCATTTTACATCAACGTTGAGAATCTTTCAACACAAATCATAATCCTGACGTTAAATTATTATCTACCAAAATATGATTTTTTCCCCCATCTACAGCAATTTTTGGCCAATAAATTGCTGTATATGAAACAAAAGAAATTAAAAACTCTGCTCAAAGTTCCAAGAAATGAAGGATGAGAAATAAGTGAAACGGAAGTCAAATTACCTTCTACACATTCGCAATGAGAATCAAGATATGTGATCACAGGGCTTTTTGAAATAGCGGCTCCTCTTATGCGAGCCCTTATTAGGCCTTCACGTTTCTCCAAGCGTAAAATACGAACTTTCGTGTATTGCCGCATATAAATTTCCAAATCAGCCTATATAAAATTAAATTCTATGCATAGCACAAGAAGCTCATTATTTTCAATACTCCAAATTACCATATTAATTTATGAGGCATTTCCTGGCAAACACTGCCGGAAAGGTTTCATGAGCAAGAACTTACAGTAGCATCATTTTAGCTAAAACTTTCGAGAATATATTCATTTTGTTTTCAGATGGAAGAAAATCTAAATAGATTTTTTTGAATGTTTAGGATATATTTTCAAAAAACTGAACAGCTCTCCAAATTTATCAATGTAATCATTCTGTGAACTTTAGGAAAGAATAAACCTTGAGATGTGCCATGTCCGAAAAATCATCAACCAAAATAATTTCGTTAAGTAAATTTTCCGGTGTCCTTTCAAGTACACTATGTACTGTACGAAGTAAAACTGACCAAGCTTCGTTATGAAAACATATAATAACCGAAGTGTTCGGAAGATCGCTAGCATATTTTTCCGTTTTGCATCTAGAATTATGAATAAGAAATTTTTCAGTTTAAGCAAATAAATGTTTTTCTTAATAATGCCATATGAAGAATGGAGAATTTTGATTAAGAGACCAATACAGAATTAGTCCAATGAAAGAATGAGTGTTTATGTTCATTTCGTTTTTCTTTCCTACTGCTGATTACTCTAACTGTTACGCAATAAAAATTCAATGTCCTGATAAACAAACAAACAAACAAATAAAATAGAATTCAATGTCTGATAAATACAAAGAAATAAAATCCTTGTAAGGAAAGTACAATGGTTCTATCATTCTTCATTAAATCATCTATATTGCCGAAGGAAACTTAATAATTAATAATTTTTCATGTAATTAATAATTGTATTAATTACATGAAAAATAAAAACTGAGTAAAGAGAGGAACGAGCAGTCCAAATTTCATTCTTTCTTTGAAGATAAAAAACTGTGACAACCCACTCTTCATCGATATAACTAGGCAAACTCCTGTGTATCGAAATGATATCTGAGACGTACTGGTTAAAAGCATTTTTGCTAAATCCGTCATCGTAAACTTTTTTTTCACTGAGAGTCAGTTTCTGAAAAATAACATCCATATATTACGATGCAGTTTACTTTCATTTAGATATGTAATAAAACTAAATGAAAACGAAACCGGAAACACTAACGTTTCTATCGATTATCACTGCTTTTCCACCTTCACCCGGCTGATGTGCATCGCCTCGTTTGTAAATGGGAGAATCTTGATCGAACAGTGCTTTGTTTGGCTTAGGAATATTCCTCTACAATTCGCGGTAATTTGTAACAACAGAATTTCTTTCTCATGAAGTAAACCTCTTCACTCCATCCCATGCTGATCCGCAAAATTAAAATATGGTAATAGTGTAACCTACGACTATAAATACTTGGCAATAAAGAACAGAAATTATTTCTACATTTATCAATTCAAAATATTGCAGTAAAAATTCTCCATTCTTGTAAAACTGTCCAATAGCAAATTAAGAAATATACCTCTTCAATCCTCTCATGAATAGCAGGAAGCTTATCCTCGACTTCAACGGCAGGTTTCATTGACATAGGAGGACCGAAGCCTTCTAATTTATGCAATTTTGGTAAATCAACTTTTGGATGCCTAACAGAAGAGATCTAAAATTTTGAACTCTGTTATATCTCAATCCTTTTTCATCATTCAGTTAAATTTTAATTTACACATTGAAATATTAAAAGTCAAATTTCATATCCTAAAATGGAATAATTTAACTTTTTGAACAAGTGGTAGGTAAAAGAACATATAAGAAAATATATAAACTTTCAATTTCTAGATTAGTATGAAGTGCCATATAAAAGCGAAGAGGATGTGCATAAACAACTTATAATGTTAATTAGCTTTTAATCCATGCTTCATTTTTAACCAGTTGGTTATAGCAATAAAAGTATGTTAGTATTTTCACCATCATCTATCCATAATCCAAATTCACCAGCCACGCAAGTTATTTTACCTTGCCCGATGATTTCGAAGAAGTGGAAAAATACAATATAGCACATAACCAAATTGCTGGTATCAAAAGTAGTAATTTAAATACAAGCGACCGTCTTCTTGGTATTATTAGAGTACCCATGTCACTACTGAATATTAATCGATGCATAAATTGCAATCCCCAAAGATCCCCAAAATAACCGCCGTTTTTTACCTGGAACGAATTTTATCGGTTAAAAAGTAACAGATGTCATATTTACAACCATATCAACATAGAATTAGACATCTTGGTCAAAAAACTATGACCAAAACAAAGATGCAATTCGAATAAAAGCTTAGGACAACAATCAAATATAATATTAACTTATCTTTTTTTGTAATATGTCAAATGTTTTGTGTCGTCGAAAAAGTAATTATTCAGCCAAAAAAAAAAATGGTCTCGTTCTTGTTATTTTTATCATTTTATTTCAAGACAAACACTTTACTAATCGCGTTTAAAAGTTAGAGGAGGAGGAACGAGCAATGAAACGGTTAAAATATATAAAGGATAGTAGTATAACCAAAGGTAATATTAGGTTAAAAGATGAAGTACGGTCAGCACAGTTAATTAAAGTTGATTACCAAACAAAAAATGGAATGAATATCGTGATAATCTTCTAGTAAAGAGAGATAATTTGTAATGAGAAAGATGTACAAGAATGGTTCTTTCAGAATTCGACAATGTGAAAAAAGCGGAATTATAAAATGAAATTCTATTCATCAGATTGATCAGACAAACAGCTTTGAAGCTTAATTTGCTGTTCCCTTGCATATTTACTTTGTATAAATATATCAGGCATTTCTTTTCAATTTTCAGTTAGCAGTTCGATAGTTTCTCAGTATACAAACTAAAGAAGCAGTCGTTCGCCGCAGTTTAAATATTACGACTGCAAATAAAAATATTCCAGATGGATAAAATCCACTTAAAATGGACTGTGTACAAAAGTATGTGTACACATCTCACAGAAAAAAATTGGCTTATTGCAGGATATTTGAATGATTTAAATTGTAAAATTTATAAACTAAAATTTGCTGAAATTTAGCACCAATGATTGCAATGTATAAAACTGTGCATGAACAGATAAAGACAACAAAAATATAGGAATAGCTGAGTGTAATAATAATTGAAGATATTTGATAAGAATAATGAAACGAATTGACAAAAGTTTAAGAAAGCAATGTAAATTAAAGTTGAAATGAGCAAGTCATAATCACCAACAATAAGAATAGAAGATTAGTAATGGTGTTTCTTTATGGAGAGTAAACCATAAGTAATGACAGGATGTGTCACTGTTTCCCGTTTTATTTGCTCTTTCACTTTTGAAGAAAGTTTAATGTCTCTTTGAACCACTAACTTAACATCCACCTCGGATTACCTTAATACTTAGCAAAGTTAGTCAAATGCATAAACTCACGCGGAACACACCTCCTCCACTGTTCCAACAGTTAACCCACCTTATGCAAACTGTTTGTCCCACTTAGCAGGTCGCTGTGATTTCACGGCTAGACGATTTGCAAAAACTCCAATGGGAGATGCGAAGGGAGCGGGGAGAGCGGGGGTTAGGTGCGTGGGTGGGTGTTATTACGAGAGTATTACCTTCATAGGTATGCATATCCACTTGATTGTTTGTCGAAGCGCGTAATGAATGTATGGCTCGTACATGGCAGCTTGATTTTAATTTCCACATATATAGTGTGATGTGATTGCTTTAAAAAGATGTAAAATGATGAGGTGCGAGGAACCTATAAAAGTAGTCAAGTTTAGAAGCTGATTAGGAGCTTCTTCCGAAAGTATCTGTTAGCATGATATTTTTTAGGTAATATCCAGGAAAGATGTCATTACGAAAGGAAGACGTTTATGAGACAGAAGATTTGCCGGAAGATGATCAACAAATGATTGAAGATGAGGTCGCTGAATCGGAAGGTTATTCTATTGCTATCTGCAACTAAAATTTCCATAATCATTACGAGTTTTATTGTTTAATCTGATAATAAATCATAGTAGATTATGAATTTGTTATCGAAGATAGCCTGTGAAACAAAATTTATTTTGTAAAACAGCAGGAATACAGCCAAAATCTTTTTTGTTAGCTTCGTATCGTGTATGTAAAAATTGATATCTGAGATACTTTTACAATATCAGCACACTCGCGTTTCATACATTTATTAAAATGAGTAAAAATTAAGAGAATTTTCGAATTTATTCTTTCTAATGACCTTAACTATATTTCAGAAATAGAGCGTATACACATCGACGTTGATAACGCAATGAAACGGTTCAAAGGTCGTCTAGTGAGTGCAGAAAACGTCGGTGAGCACTGTGTATTCTCAATTCTTTCTTCTATCATCTATCTGACTTTTGATATTGAGCATCCATTTAATGTTTCCATCATCTATCTGACTATAAGTATATATCCATTTAATTGAATGAAAAAAATTGTTTTGACCATCTCCTATCAGTAATCTACACAAGTTCACTAATAGGAAATATTCTATCTGGTTTCTTAATATACATTTGTCGAATGTATATAGAGAGTTTATCAATGCAGATTTCTCGGATTCTATTGCACGTAGAAGACGTTGTGGATATGGTAGTGGTTCGTATGTGCTTGAAGTCGTTGGGCCTTATGCAGATGAAGCAGAAACGCTGGAGCAAAAGTTTACTCGCTTAAATTGTGAGATAAACGATTTAGCGGAAACGATACAGGCGCAGGTTCGATATGATCGCAATTTTTTTAACATTAAATTTCACAGGACTTTGAATAATTAATGAACGCTTAAGACCCTTTCTTTGTTGTATTTCAGCTGTTTTTACAGCATTATTCTAAAAATATTAATTTTCTAATAAAACAATGGTAATTTCTGTTCTTCTAAATTATGATTCTGTACAGCATGATTAGATTTAACGAGATTTTATTTTTTGCCTTTTCAGAAAGTATCAGACAGATCAGATTCATGTGTAGTTAATGAAGAAGATTTGATTGCTATGCTGGAAACGTTGAAAGCTTTGCAAGTCAATAGAGATACAGTTACAACTCCCGTCCAAAGTGAAAAGAAGTAAATCATTATTTTAGAAAAAATAGGAAAACCCGAGATTCTGAAAACTGTGTCTTTTTTATTTTCAATACTTAGAATCATTACTAATTCTCATTATTTTTCAAATTGTTACATAACATAACAGTTACTAAAACTGTGAAAGCCCAGGGCTTCGATTATATTTAGTTATACGTCAGTTATACTTAGAAAGAGCAGCGAATGAATTAGATTCTAGAATTCAAACGATATCTTTTGCTAGAAATCAGAATCCAGTTTTTCTGGAAATGTATAAACAAAGTACAGAAGTGAAAAAATCTTTGACGTAAAAAGAAAAATAATAATTCAAATTTTTGTGGAAAATTTACAGAAATAGCAAATTGGAAGATGCAACACTTTTCACCGAAAGTAACATTGTAAACGGGCGTTTAGCAGTTTTGGAGAATCGAATCAACCGTCTGGAGCAGATGATTGATGGTGTTAATGGTAGTTGTGATGAATCCATGAGAGTTTGCAAAATTCCAATTGCCGAAGCAGTTGAAGATTTACGTATGCGTGTACAGTTGTTACATCCTGCTCATGTTGATGGTCTTCATTCACGCATCACGCAGCTTCTTTCTAAGTTACAACAAGTATTCTTTTATGTTCATATTGTTGTGGATATATTATTTCTTGTAGACATTTTTTTGAGTGAAACCTTATTGTTTTTATCTTTCTGATGATGGTATTCTTTAGTGTAGATACAAAATGCTTCAAAACTTCAGAACGTGTAGTACAAGATAATAAAGTGTGAAATTGGATTTGAACTTCCGTTCTGTATAATCGAGCAGTAATAAGCAATTGATCATTTTGAAAAGAGCGATCATCTTTCGTCTGTTTTATTTCATCAAATCTGCTGCAAATTGTAGGTGGAGGAAAAAAAGAAAGAGAAAGGCGATTCGGAGTTCGAGGAAAAAGTTGATAAACTATATGAGATGATGAGTCGATGGGATGTAGCGTGCACTGGCTTATCTTCCGCAGTCAAAAGGATGTATGATTTAAGGAAACTTCATGAACAAGGTAACAGTTTCCATGGAGATTTTGAAGTTTTTCCTATTTTTCCATTACTGGTTGCTATTTTTGTAAGTATAAATGATTCTTCCATTATAGTTTGAGAGTAGAAAGATTAATTGTCCCAGAAATTCAGACAGAGTTCGGAAAATGCTCTATTTTAACCTTCTAAGCCTAGTGGTTACAATTATCGACATCTCAAAATTTTGGTGAATTGAATAGAGTTAAGTAGTTATCGTAAGCCTTTTCTACGATGGATGCCAACGCTGTGTGATAAGCAACCGTACAATCACTGAGATACTCAATAGTAGAACGAATTATGTGAAAAATATTTTAGTTGAGCTAGATAAAGGAGAAAATGACTTATAGAATCAAAGTTGTCGATATTGAAGTCAAACAAACAACAAATATTGAGATAGGAATTAGTTATAGTTATCATCATAATTGTTATACTAAAAACATGAGCTTTGTTTTAGTTTTTATTAAGATTTAATAAATTTTTAGCAGAACAGTTCAGTAAAAAATTGAGTCAGTTGACGGCTATCCGTTCACAGTTAGCCAAAACGATGGAAAGAGAAGAAATGATGTTATTTGATTTCCGTCAACAAACGCACGCAGCTTTAGAGAAGCTTGGTGCGGATATCATTAGACTGGAAGAACGAATCAATAAATTAAATTCCTAAAGGTCTCTGGTCCTTTTTATTTATGTGAATTTTCTATAACCTTTTATGAAATCGGTGAATAAAAGAGAGTGGCCGTTATATCGAAATCCTACGTCTTTCATTTATAGAAATGAATTTCTTACAGAGCGTATATTCATCTTCGGTTAGCATTGTAAGGGTGAATTATGCTTTATGACATAAAAGTGATCTCTAGCAACTGATGACTGATGAAACGTTTTGTTGGAGTGACTACCTTTTTTGTATAATCAATCTATAATTAGCGTGAGTTGTGAATTTTAAAATTTGTTTTAAAGCTATATTCGATATTGTTAGTTCCTCTTTATAACTCTCTCTCTCTCTCTCTGTAAAGGCTATCAATTTTTTATAGGCCGTCAATTTCATAATTTTCTTATGTTTTTTTTCTTTTCACTCTGTATACTAAAGCACTAGCTTCATCAGTAATGTTATCAAGATTTGCAACGAGAAGCAGTTCAATAAGTGCTTGTAAATGCATGAATATCGTGATTGTAACCATGTTTGATATCGCTTTTTACGAAAAAGGCAAGAACAGAAATAGACGATTTTTATTGATTTGTAATAAGACCATTAAAAAAATTTAATCATATCTGATGTGCTGTCGTAGGATTAAGAGGAGATACTTTGTATTGTAATTGCAGACAATTTGGATATTAACAATTGGATAATTTTTTTTATTTTGATTATAATGGATTAGAAATAAAGTCATGCAGATTTTTTATTAATACTATAAATTTTTCAGCATCAATGCTTTTTTTCACATATGTAATTATTTAAGAGTCATATGTATTATGCCGAAGTTAGCATCAGTTTCGTTTGATGGTACTTGAAATTGTTTGTTAAACATAACGTCTAATAATTATAATTTCGTTAAAATCATGACTGAAACGGATGTAAGCAAGTCGATCTGATCTGTGCTAAGTGTTAATTACTGAGATAATTGGACAACGAGAAAGATGGGATTATCCCTTACAATTAATTGATGAT